CTGGGACTCTGACATGCCTGGGCCCCAAAGGGCCTCTCAGCCAGGAGAAGCCTCGCTCCCAGCCTCTCTTCCTGGGCTCAGCGCAGGGTTCTCTGCCCCAGAAGGATGGGGAAGGGGTGGCACGAGAGGCCCCAGGGAGATGTCCCAGGTACCACCCCCATGTGGCAGTAACTGGCTTAAAAGTAAAGAAACTGTAAAAGATAAAATAAAATAAAGAGACTCCAGAATGATTAAATACAAACAAGTAATTTGTGCAAGTATCCGTGACAATGTGTTTCATAATAAATCACCACGGAGTCATTCCTCATGCATCTGACATTGTCAGGGACCAAGGCCTTTTCCATGTGGGAATTTTCCGGCTGGCTGATTTCTACCAGTGTTTGGAGCAAACTTGGATCTGCATCCTTTCCGGATGAATCACACCCCTCCCTGTCTCCTCAGAATGCCAGCTGACATTTTTGCACCTAAAGGGCCTCGCAGCCCATCCGTCCGGCCCCCTCCATTCACAGATGGCGATTTAACCTTTCCCCAGTGACTCAGAGTCTCCACTCTGAGCACCGCTCGTGGCTCTGGGCCAGGGCACAGCAAAGCCCATGGGTGCCCTGGCGATGCCAGAACCTTCCGGATCAGAGGCCGGCCTCCGGGCTCTCTGGTTTCAGGCCTGGGGATCCCGCTGGGCCTCAGCCTCCGGACCCAGGCTAGCAGACACCAGGCCCACTGCTCCCCGCCATCCCACCAGCCTCACGCCAATGGCCTGCAAATAGCCTCTGCCTTTCCTCTCCTCTCAGAGTCCAGGGACCACAGGGAGGCCAGTGTCCCAGGGGGAATGGGGGAGCGCAAGGCCCAGGGTCACCAGCTGGGACGACGGCTGCTCCGCTCAGGAGACCAAAGAGGGTGCCCAAGGGCAGAGGTGAGAGCTCGAGCTAAACATGCGGAGCACCAAACACGCAGCCATGACAAGGGACAAAGGTGTGCACAGATCATGGAAGCATGAAGTTCCTCCTCCCAACCACCCCCCCACCATGTTTGTGACGTAGGGCCTGGGTCATTTCGACCTTGATCCCCGAATGGAAGCCGCAACAGGGACTATTATGGGCCAGATCGTCTCTCCCTCAAAACTTCCGTGTTGAAATCCTAACCCCTCAGATCTCAGAATGTGAGTCTTTGGAGACAAGGTCTTTACAGAGGTAGTTAAGTTAAAATGAGGTCATTAGGGTGGGCCCTAATCCAATATGACCGATGTTCTCATTAGAAGAGGAAATGAGGACACAGACAGGAGGCCCAGAAGGAAGTCCGTGTGAAGACAGAGGGACACGGCAGCCATCTGCAAGGCAAAGAGAGGGGTCTCGGAAGAAGCGCCTCGGTCTCAGACTTCCAGCCTCCAGACTGTGATGAATGAAGTTCCATTGTTTGGGCCCCCAGCCTGCAGAACAGGAAGTTATGTAGAAGGATGACCACTTTATGGGTCTCTTGGATCTCTGGCTCTAGACTGCGAAGTAACCGTGAAGAAATTATTATATAATTTAAAAAGTAATTATTTGCCTTTGAAAACACTAAGGAATGTTGTCGACAGGTGTGCTCTGGCCTTCCAGAATGACACACTTAAGGGCCTGGGGTCTCTGGATTCTGGGAAAAGACAAAGGATCTCTGCTAAGGAGCTGATGAATTTGGCTCGTGCCTGAGGTCCGGGTGGCCATGTTTGCCACTAAATCCCAACTCCTCAACCAAGCACATCGTACACACTGCACCGCCACCTGCTTAAAGGCTTCTCATGGGTTCCCACGGCTCTCAGATGATGCTAGAATCTGGATCCAGGTTCACACTGAAGGTCCCACAAGGTCAGGGCCCCATATGCCCCTCCAGCCACATGGCTTCCCAGTCCCCCTCTCACACTGGCATTCAAGCTGCCCTGACCCTTCAGAGCCTGGGACACAGTGGGCTTCCTTCTGGCACAGGGCCTTTGCGCAGACTAGAACCTCAGTCTGGAACCTTCCTGGCCTACTTAACTCCTAATGCCTGTCCAATGGGAGCAACAGCATCACTTCCTCAGAGAAGCTTTGCCTGACAGCCCCCTTCCCACCCCAGCCCAGGTCAAGCTCCCTGTCATCCCCTTGTCTCCCTAGGGTAGTTATTCATGTCTGCCTCCCTGCCGGGCCATGAACTCCATGAGGGCAGAGACCACGGCGTGTGCGCAGCCGAGGGCAGGTGGAGTTGATGGGAGGTGCTCAGACGTTTACCTCTAGAGAGGGTACACAGACCCTTGGTTAGTGCAGGAAGCAGAAACAACACAGCTATTCCCAGTGGATTTCTTGGAGCTTTCCTGCAGCTACTAAGCTTCTGGATTCTGACTGACAGCCCAGAAAAGCTGCTGCTGCTGGTAGCGGCCCCAGGAAGGAAAGAAAAGGGAGGGCGGCACACTAACATTTATTGAGCACCTCTTACGTGTGCTACTATGGAGGTGGCCCGCGGCGCTACCTGCTTTTACATACGTTATTTCATCTAGTCTTTATGGAAACCCTTCAAAGCTAGATAATAGCGTCCCAATTTTTATAGGTAAGAAAAGGCTCAGAGAGATTAAGTAATTTGTATAAAGATGTAGAGCTCATAAGACCTCGGGTCTGCCAGACCCCCAGGGCCATGCTCTGTCTTGACCCACACTACATGGATCATGTCAAATCGCTAAAGGAGCCGTGGCTCCTGCCTGTGGGCCACGGATAGTGGTCCCAGGGATCACGGCAGGGGCCTATGAGTCTGCAAGAGCACCCACCACCACCTGACCCTGAATCAACCATATTCCTTCTACATCCAGATAGACCTGTTTTCAAACAAATAGGAACTTTATTTGAAATTAAACCACAAAACTCTTTTCAGTGGGACAGGGAATTCTATGTGGGAGAGACGGAGGGGTGAGCACACGCATTGAAATGTTTCACATGGAATGCGCTTTTCCTCCCACTGGTTATAAAAGAGCCATAGGCACAAAACAGACACAGAGACCAGTGGAACAGAATACAGAACCCAGAATTGGACCCACAAATGTTGGCCAACTAATCTTTGGCAAAGTGGGAAAGAGTATCCAATGGAAAAAAGACAGCCTCTTTTGCAGATGGGGCTGGGAGAACTGGACAGCAACACGGAAAGACCACTTTCTCACACCATACACAAAAATAAACTCAAAATGCAAGAAGGACCTGAATGTGAGATAGGAAACTATCAAAACCCTAGAGGAGAAATCAGAAAACAACCTCCTTGACCTCAACTGCAGCAACTCCTTACTTGACACATCCCCAAAGGCAAGGGAATCAAGAGCAAAGATGAAGAATTGGGACCTCATCAAGATAAAAGCTTCTGCACAGTGAAGGAAACAATCAACAAAATAGGCAACCAACGGAATGGGAAAAGATAGTTGCAAATGACATATCAGATAAAGGGCTAATATCCAAAATCTACAAGGAACTCACCAAACTCCACACCCGAAAAACAAATAATCCAGTGAAGAAATGGGCAGAAGACATGAACAGACACTTCTCCAAAGAGGACATCCAGATGGCCAACAGACACATGAAATGATGCTCAGCGTCCTTCATCATCAGGGAAATACAAATCAAAACCACACCGAGATATCACCTCACGCCAGTCAGAGTGGCTAAAATGAGCAAATCAAAGGACTCTAGATGCTGGCGAGGATGTGGAGAAACGGGCACCCTCCTACACTGTTGGTGGGAATGTAAACTGGTGCAGCCCCTCTGGAAAACAGTGTGGTGGTTCCTCAAAAAATTTACATTAGAACTCCCCTATGACCCAGCAATAGCACTGCTAGGAATTTACCCAAGGGATACAGGAGTGCTGATGCATAGGGGCACATGTACCCCAATGTTCATAGCAGCACTCTCAACAATAGCCAAACCATGGAAAGAGCCTAAGGGTCCATCAACTGACAAATGAATCAAAACGATGTGGTTTATGTATACAATGGAATACTATTTGGCAATGAGAAAAAATGAAATCTGGCCATTTGCAGCAAATGGACGGAACTGGAGGGTATTATGCTAAGTGAAATAAGTCAGGCAGAGAAAGACAGGTACCATGTTTTCACTCATATGTGGATCAGGAGAAACTTAACAGAGGACCATGGGAGAGGGGAAGGGGAAAAACAGTTACAGTGAGGGAGGGAGGCAAACCATAAGAGACTCTTAAATACTGAGAACAAAATAAGGGTTAATGGGGGTGGGGGAGGGGGAAATGAGTGATGGGCATGGAGGAGGGCACTTTTTGGGATGAGCACTGGGTGTTGTATGGAAGCCAATTTGACAATAAATTATATTAACAAACAAATAAATTTTAAAAAATAAAATTAAAGAGCCATAGGTGGTGTCTTGTTGAGAGAGGAGCAGAAAGTACAGTTCTTTCGTGACGTGTGCAAAACAAACAACAACAAAAACCAGATCCACGCACAGATGCCGCTTATGCAGACTCTGGGAACATGTACCAGGGCACGTAGGTTGCCTGCGACGGGAAATGGGGGGCTCTGGGCAGGGGGATTTTCATTGTATACTTTTTTGTACTGCTCGAATGTTGTATCACTCAATAAGATTTTTAAGAAATGTAATCAATGTAACATTTTAAAAAGGCAATAGCAAGAGAGCAATGCTGAAGCTTCTGCTAGAAGCACCGGATTTCAGGTGAGATGCTCTCGTGCCCTCTTTGGTTTCTGTACAAGCGGCGCCCGGTGACGGTATCACGGAGACTGGTAATTGAGACAGGGACTGAATCCCCTGAGTCACCAGAGGTGACCTTGCAAACCTGGCCTTTTTTTCATCAAATGCACAATTAGCCCTGCTCTCCAAATGCCAGAGGCCCTGGGGGGGAAGGAGACCTAATTCTTGCTCTGCCGGGATCTGCCACATTCCTGTCTCCTTCCGGCTGTGCCCCACCCCGCCCCCTGGTCCCAGCCCATTCCACATGCACTATCACCCACCACCCACCCCAGCCACACTCACATGGATAGCACCTTCACTTCCAGGATTTCGTGTCTCAGCTCCAGGCATCTTGTGGAGTTATATTCAAATGGGCCCTCGTAAAATTCAAAGTACCTGGGAAACGAGAGGGACAGAGGTCACTATGCAGAGAAGCAGGCCAGACTTTTGGGGGACTGCGGGGCTCTCCTCGGCAGTGGGTCTATCCTGGTCAAATAAATACAGCACATCGGTCGCACCCCAGCAGATGACCTGGTGGGGGGCGCCAGGACCTTGGGGGCCCTCTGGGTTGTTCACTGGGTGGCTGACTACTCAGAGCGCCTCACTATCCCAGGAGTGTAAGCCTTTACAAGGCATGAACTCGTCTCCGCAAATCATGACATTCTGAAGCAGGCTGGGTTCCAAACTAGTGGCTGCAAGTGTAAAGGAAAGGGCAGGATGCTCTGAGCACCATCTCCTTCTCCAGCTTCCTGTGATCAGTCCCTGAAGGAGGCAGCACTGGGAGTCGGGGCAGTGAGACCCAGACTTTCAACCAGTCCTGCCCTTTCCTGCCCCTTTCTTCTCCCCTTGGGAAAGTGCCACACAGTGACAGCCTCAAACACAGCTAAGATCTTCTGCCTTTTCTACATGTCATTAGCTCACTTGACTTCCATGCTCACACTGTGACCAGGTGAGACTGACATTTCTTTCTTCCTGTTTGGCAGCTGAGAAGACTGAGTCTAGATAGAGGGAGCTCCAGGTCACACAAGCTGCAGGGCAGGGCCAGGCTCGGGCTGGGTCCCACCGCAGAGGAGGGCAAGGCCTTTCCAACACCGGCTGGATCCAGGCGTGTCAGAGCCACCCCAGGACCCCTTCTGCAGCTTCGTGCAGAAAAATACTGATGTCAGCCGGTGCTTGCCGAGCCCTTTCCTCGGGTCAAATGCTTGATGGGAATGCATTCATTCCCTTTTCATCTTTGTAACTAGCCTACAAGGCAAGCGATCATCATAAGCATCCGGAATCAGCTCTGGGAGTTGACTCACTCGCCAAGAGCCACACAGATGGTGGGCGGCAATGCAGGGGCACGAACCTACGCGTTGACTTGAGGCTGCTCTTGTCCGTGCGCCTATAAGGACAGCTGGTGGCCCCTGAAAAGGGCCCTGTGGCCTCCCACAGCCACCTGGGGGGGAGGCCTTTAAAAGAGCTCCCTCACACCTGAAGTTCCACCAGCCCAGGGCAGGAAGAGCACCTGCCTGACAGCGGGTGGCAGGGAGGCTTCCCGCAGACATGAAACACAGTAGTTCACTGCTGGACTCGGCCACAGAGGCAGGATGGGACCTCTCCTCAGGGCCTCTCTCTGGAGGTTGCTCAGAAAGGGCTGCGGGAGGGCACCTGGGTGGCTCAGTCAGCTAAGTGTCTGACTTCAGCTCAGGTCATGACCTCACAGTTTGTGAGTTCAAGCCCTGCATTGGGCTTTCTGGGCTCAGCACAGAGCCTGCTTTGGATCCTCTGCCCCCGTCTCTCTCTCTTTGCCCCTCTCCACCCCCCCCTCAAAAATGAATAAACATTAAAAAAAGAAAGAAAGAAAAGGCTGGGCCAGTTTGGGGGGGGGGGGCATCAGATCCCAGAACAGCAAAACACCACAGAATTAAGGAACCTGTGGGTGGAGCCACTGTAAATGTGAAAGGCCTCTAGAATCAGTGGGAGAGGGGCCCAGGACTGCCCCCAGGTGCCTGTGGGCCATGACCAAGGATCTAAAATAAAGTCCTTCTTCAAACATTCCTCAGAAAGCTTCCCAGCACGTGGCGGCAATTAATCCACATGTGTTCTCGCACACCCAATTTACGTGCACAAACGCATGGATGTGCTGCTTTAGACAGAGAAAGGCATTCTGGCCAATAAACTGGCTTCTTTTAAAAACATGTGTATTTTAAATCATTTCTATATACAATAATATTGTATTTAATACTTGAAAAAATATATTTTAAAATATTTGTTCTTAATTTTCATAAAATATAATAGTTAAGTTTTAAAGTTATATTTTTAAGTAAATTTAAGTAATATTTTTAAATATTAAAACATTTTCTTTTATATTTTTAATGTTTATTTATTTTTGAGAGAGAGAGAGACAGAGTAAGAGCAGGTAAGGGGCAGAGAGAGAGGGAGACACAGAATCTAAAGGAGGCTCCAGATTCTGAGCTGTCAGCACAGAGCCCGACACAGGGCTCGAACTCACAAACTGTGAGATCATGACCTGAGCCGAAGGCGGACACCTAACCAACTGAGCCACCCAGGCGCCTCAAGTATTAAAACATTTTATGGAACAAATTGGCTTCTATTTACAAAATGAAATTGGCTTCTTATTCTCATGTCTTAAAAGAATTGAAGCAGAGTTAATAAGAACTGGGCATTGAGGATTCCCAAAATACCACATTCTCCTTTTTCTCTCTGTTTCCCTTATGTTTTAGAACTCCTTTCTCTGTCTTTCTCCTCTGGCAAACCCACATTGATCCTTTAGTACCCAGCTTGATGCCCCTACTCATGTGAAGCCTCGTCTGACCCCCACTCCTGGGATCCCTCTTACTTCATCTCTTAATTAGAGGAAATAACATTGTATTATAATAATCTGTTTATATATCTGTTTTCCCTTCCAAACCATGTTGTGAATATCTCAAACACAGGGACTCTTTGTTACGTCTGTACCTTTTATACTACTGAACAGAAAGCTAAAAACTATATTTCCCAGACTCCCTTGCAGCTAGGGTATGGATATAATTTAAGTTCAACCAATCAGAACTATTTGCATGAGACTGATTCAGAGCTGGGTGACAGGTAAACAATGACCGAGCTCCAGGCGTTGTTTGGCTCGCACATAACATAGCAGAAGTGGCATGGCTCTCGGAAACTGCAAGGAGGTAGCAGCACCTTCATGATTACATCAGAGGCAGTAGCTTTCACGGTGGCCCCGTTTCACAGTGCAGTTTAGGGAGGCTCAGCCTTCAGTCTTGCCTCAATGTTCCCAATGATTCTGCACTAGCTGTACCCTAAATAAATCCCTTTCTGCTTTCACTCACTAAATGGATTCTGTTCCCCACAATTAAGAACAAGGGGTCCGCATGATGCCACCAGAAAAGTCCAAGAACTTGGCTGTAACTCACATCATTTTCCAGTCCCACACCAGTAAGTGAGGTCTGATGTCTTATCACAAGGATCACTATTTGCAACCAGAGCCAGTGGCACTGGGTCCTCTGGAATCCACTGGGTCATCTGAAGCCGTGATCTCAGGCTGCTACTAAGAAAAGCTCCAGATTCAAAGAGTGCAGGAGTTATTTAGGAGGAGGGTTGGGAGTCTTGCAGACACATCTTGCATATGCTAAACCCAGCTGTGTGACTTCGGTAAATCGATTCCCCTCTCTGGGCCTCTTCTTTCTCCTCCTTAAAACAATCTGTCTGAACGAGGTGGCAGCCCGGGCCCCAGCCAGCACTCCAGTATGATCCCAAGTTTCCCTCCATGTTTCCCACGGACTCACCACGCCACAGTGAGACTGTGGATGAATGATCCACAAACACAAGGAAGAAGCTCACAAAGATCAGGCAGCCCCTCCATCCCCACCTTCCCTCTGCCAGCCTCCTCTCCGTCTCCTGCTCCCCCGAATCCCCGACCTCACCCATCCAGGGAACCAGGCAGGCGGGTGACTCCAAATGGTCTCGTGCCTTGTGTTTGGTGGCCGTGAGGTGGACAGACCTTCAGAACTGGGTGGGTCATGCTCTTTCTCTGCCCCCAGAAGCCACCCTAGGCCCATACTTTTGTGAGCCTTAGTCTCCTCATCTGTCAAATCCACACACAAGAATGGGCAGTACATGTGTGACAAGGCTGAGATAAGATATTGATGAGAATTTCATGGAAAGCCCCAGCACGGAGCCTGGCACACAGCAAGAGCCCAAGGAAGGTGTATTCCTCGTTCTCCTCTCTCCTGCCACTAAAGGGCAAGAGTTGCCAGAGGACCAGTGTCTTTCTTACGGCCCTCGGCTGGTTGATGGCAGCGCTGAGTCAGGCATGGGTCACCTTGGGAAGCTTTTCTGCCATCTGGACTGGCGGGCATCCCCTTTCTGCAGCTGCTAGTAAACCTCTCCCCTGCCACCCTGTGGATAAAGCCCATGCTGTGTTCTGCTTGGACACGCGGATATCCCTGATCACCCATCTGTGCGGCAGGCTCCGTGCAAAAACGATGTGTTTCTGACGCTTTAGCATCCGGGGCCTTGTTGACCCTGGGGCTAGCCAATTCCGTGAGAAGGTAACCTCCTGAGAGCACACCCTTCCTATGCGAACAAACCAATCCAGAGCTCATAACCCGCCACCATCCATCCTCTCACATTAGGGCCTCTCTCCCCCTGCCCTGGTCCCGGGGCCAGGAACCGCCCAGCTAGGGACAGCCCGGAGGCCCCCGAGCCCACTGAAATCATTCAGACTAACCAGCCCCGTGCCTCTGTGCCTGCCTCATCTGCTTCTTCCACAGAAACCCTCGTAAAGGCTCTTGCCCACCCCCCCCACCTCACCACCTCCTGACCAGCCCGTGGCCCCTATGCAGCCCTGCACGGTGCGGTGTGCCTCCTGCGTCTAGGGGTCTGTGAGTATAAACACCTCCTCCTTCACGGCACTGACTCCCACATCTGCGTGTCTTGCTGTACATGACGATACCAAACCCCGGCCACCCTGAAAACACTCCACGCCAAGTTGTCAAAACCGCTGCACGCCTGGGTCTAAAGCCCCAGGTTTGCCGTCTGGTCACAGAGCCGGTAGCCCGTGCTCTCCCGTCCCCATCCCACCCGGGCTTCGCTCTCCTGAGCTGTGCTGCTCCATCCCAGTCTCCAAAGATAACACTTGAGGAAATAAGGTCATATTTCCCCCGGATTCCGCTTCTGATGGGACACCCAAGGACTGGGTTCTGGACGAGGCGTGGTAATCCCTCTTTGGCCCAGACGCACACTGTTAGGCAGACATCAGAAAAGATGCTTCTGTTTCCGTGTGCAGTGATGCAGGAAGATGCTCCCAGGAGGAGGCCGCATGGGAAACACAAGCCACACCATTGCGCCCTCCCAAGAGAACGCTGTACACATATGTGAACGCACAGCTCAAA